ACATATTCGATACGGCCGCTTCCCTTTATGGGCCTTTTTCGACTGGAAGCTTTTTGAAATCAATTCCCTGTGTTTGCAATTTATCATATCAAACATTGCTTTCGTTTGCAAATTACCGATTCGTGTGTCGTACGTGGGCGCAGCACGACTTAAAGCCTTGTGGATGGGAAAAAGCTAGCTCCCATTTCTTATTGCAAAGCACCTCACGCTGCTGGTGTAGCAGCAAAACAGGGTAACAACATCTGCAACACGGTTGAACGATTATAAGCGACTGAGCAGCGACGGCCACTTCTCTTTTGATCGTTTGCCGCTCTCAGTGCAATAATTCGTATTCTGTTTTTCCTAGTTCTATTTTATGTCATAGCAATAGATAAAGCAGATTTTATTGTACACTCGAAGCAGCCGGGAGATGCACAATACTCTCGCTTTCCGTCGATTCTCTGTATTGGCCATTCGTTCCGCGTGAGACAATAGCCACGTTTCTTCGTTTCCAAACACGAGGGACGGATGCCTTCTTTAACAATCAATATGTTCATTTGCCGAGACGCTTCGTTGCTAAAAGCTGCAAGGAGACAGTGAAAACGTAAACATAAAGCTCTCTTCTATTCTGCCACGGTTACACACAAGCCCAGTTGTCTTGACAGGCGCTGGCCCTATCTGTTTATAGGCGTCAGCGACAAGTTGTTTGCTGTTGCCGCCGCAGTGTCGTCGTTATCCTTATTTCCCTTTGATCTTGTTCGCCGTAGTCATCTTTGGCGTCTCGTCCATCCGAGCCTTCCGTTCTCCCGTTGTTCTAACTGGCAGGCCTGCTGAGGCGCATTAGTCTAACAACACCGCACCGACTTAGATTAGTCAGACAAGTGAATGTGTTGTCTACAAGGTATTACTTCTAGAGTAATAGTACTGTTATAGTTTTAACACTGTTACGGTCACTATTTGAGCTTAGTGGAAGCTGCTGCTGCTGTGGCAGCAGAGGCTATAGAAAAAAACAATGGCTGCGAAGCGTATCCTCGCTGGAAGTAGCTGCCGTAGATGGCCGTAATGGTAGAAAGGTGGATGGTAGATCGGTAGCATTGCTTAAGCAATATCTACTTGGCGACCCGTTACCCAGCCGCTCGGGTCGACTGCTGTATTCGGGCGCCTTAGACCATGGACGATAGTGGCCGATCACCTGATGCGGCCAAATGTTTGACTCTTTGGCCATAGACCCTTCTTGTATATAGAACGCAATTCGCGCCGCTACTATTGCCATTGATAGCGGTTGGCCGTTAGGCAGCGTGCTGATGTTATGGTCTTGTGGTGATAGTTGCAGTCGACAAGGGCTTTCTTGTTGTCGCTATTGCGGTCGGGCCTCGGCCTCTCGTAGCCTGTTGCCGCAGCCTGCCGCGTTCCTTACCTGTCAACCTATCTATGAGAAGTACTACTGAGAAGAACGACTACAACCACAAGAGTAGTGGCTCCCACTTTTCTACGGACTATCTTCTCAGCGCTCTTCTTCTAGAAGAGCATATACACACACACACACACACACACACACACACACGCTCGCACATTATCGAATTTAGGCTGGCTGCCTGTCGTCTGCGGTCATCGTTTCGCTATGGCTGCTACTGGCGCTGCCTCCTAGCGAAAGAAAATGAGCGTTGTTCATTCTCGTTCTGACAACGTTTGCGACGCCGAAGTCGGCATCAGCATCGGTGGCAGTAATGGTTTCGCTTGCCCCATGAAAAACGGACAGCCAGCTGGTCGATAAGTGAATGAAGCTGCCGGACAGACGGGAAGATCGACGGGCAGACGGAGCTGCAAAAACAGTGCCGCTCTGTGGAAAGAGTGATCAAGCGAGAGAAAAAGTCCAACAGAACACTCGCAATTAATGTTTCACGTCTTCTTTCGCGCTACATGCTTTCGCTATGCCGGTGGAAAATAGCTAAGCCGAGTCTGCTACTAATGCCCACGGTAGCTATTGCTACGGCTGCGGTTAGCCCCATTTTAACTGAAGGGCACCACCGCCATTTTATCTAGCTGCTTTACTATAAACATGCCGTAGTGAACGCGAGTTGGCGTCAAGCACAGGGAAATACACAATCACGCGCTCAGACACACATGCAAACTCATAAGGACAGAGTTATAAACATCCATATATATATATAATAATATGTGCTGTAGTATATAATGCGGCTGACAGGCAACGATAGGGCACGCCTCTACCCGTCGAAAGCATTGCCAGTTGCTGCCAACGAAAGATATCACCCTTATTACTGTTATAATTTCCAGCAGTTGTCAGTAGGAGCCGCGGAGGGTCTTCCTATAAACAGACAAACCGACACGAACGAGAGATGAAAAAGGGTCGTACCGCAGCCGTCATCATGGCCGTCGCCACTCACATCTATATCGTTACAGGATCCCCGTGAGCGCGAGGATCACTGCTGGTTTACCACGCTGATGGCTACGGCAGCTCGAATATCTTCTTGGGTCTATGCCCCAGCGCCGGCAGTGGCCGATTCTATATAGTTCGTCTACTTTTTCCACTCTGACCTCTATCGCTGTTGCTGCTGCGAACGTTACCTCCGTTGAAGTATTCTGCCGCTGGCAGTTGACGCTGCTACAACACTTTTAGCGCTGCTCGCCCCGTCGTTGGCGCGTGAAATATGAGCAAATGAGGAAAGGCTAGAACGCGAGAAAGAAGAGCTCTAGCAATCAGAAGGCAAAAGCCAGTGTGGCGCCTACGGCCCAACAGACGAATGGGCCACTGCGTGACAATTCAAGAAGAGAACAGAGTAGGACAGTTCGCGCAGGCAGCCATGCAGATGACGAGTGACGCGGGATATGGGTGGGGTAATGGGCGATGCCATCGAAGAAGCTGGTCCTCGCCGCCGTTGTTTGACGGGGCAATGCGGCAAGTGGTTGGGGAGTTTGCAGTAAGTAGCGACGCATATGGCAGACAGACCGAGGCTGGAAGATAGAAGAAGCACGATACGAAATAATAACAACGACAATGCTCAGGAAACAGCGTCCGCTCCGTTGCGTTCGGTCTTGTCCTTGGCTTGTCCAACTCAGTTGGCCCGGTTTGTTCCCTCTGTCTCCTCTTGTAGCAGCAAATCAATGAGATACAGAACTTTCGTTTGTGCATACGTCTCAGCTGTGTCCACTGCAACCGTGCTTATATAATAATACTCGCTCTAATGCTACTAAGCCGATACTACAGGTAGCTTTGCTTTTTTGCTCATTACAAGCCTATAACACATACGTTCCGAGGCGAGCGCTATTGTGTCCTCCGTTAACGTTTCGCGCAAGTGCCGTCTTGTCTATCTGTTGTTATTCAAAGAGCGACAGTAACCCGTCACTGAGTATCGGGCCTGCAATAAAAAAGCGCCAGCAATGGCAACTCAGTTCGATATGCTATTATGTGCGCATGTTTAAAATGCTGATAGATGCTATGATGCCCCTATTCGTATATGAAAAAAGATATAATCAGCCGAAAAACTGGCAATCAGGCTGCTTAAACGCACTGAACGCTGTATGGATACGTGCAGAGCGCTCAGCATCGTGCACCAATTAGGGAGACAATCAGGATCAGGGTCAGCGCAGGCTCATTCATCCACTATTATGTTACGCTTAGAAAATGGAAATGATATTTGGACTGGTTTGAGCATGAGGTACAAGTACACACTACGGACGACAGATGTGGTATCGGTATCCTGATTCAGACAGGTCATCAAGAGGCACAAATTAGCAGACGCGAGTTACTACGATCAATCGATTATACACAAAAAACAATAGGTGTTTGTCGTCTACAGTCACGAAGGGAATCCTACAGAATGAACTATATACATTGGAACGCAGTTCTAAACTGGCAAGCGCAGTGCACCCCGCCAAATAGAGTATACTGGTGTTTACCTACTGAGCACAAATGTACACATTTGTAAGCCAATAAGCGAATTCGTCTGTCTCGACAACTGGCTGCATTAGCTGACGAAAAATGAAGCAATGTTTGTACTCCCGATGCGTAAACAGACGTTTTTGTTATATATACATATACCGATTATGTATTAACAATTTGCCCCACACAACCCTTCTCTTCAACTCGAATCGAACTATGTCACTCACGTTATGTGAGATCAAGGAACTTTGCTTTTAATTCAATAATGTGCCCTTCGGCGGGCAAAGCTTTTAGGAAGTTACTGGAAAAATATTACATTGTAGATGAATTATAAAGATGTAGGAACCCCCCCCTGCGCGGCATCGGATCGAACGATACTCAGTCGCCGCTTAAAATACGGGCATCGTTTATTAATGCAGTAATATAGCGGAACGTTTATTTTGACGGGTGCGTTCTTGACGAAGTATAGTATAGGCGGTTTCTGTTTTTTTGCCCCCCTTGGCAATAAACGAATCGCTTTCGATATTATCAAATGCTTATCTGCTAATGCTTCGGCAAAACAACCATTCCTAACCTAATGATGCTGCTTGCGAAAGCTAGCGGTAGTCGTACGTATCCTATTTATAAGCCGATTTTATGCATTGCTTTATTATGGGGCAATTGAGCCCACGCGTTTACGGTGCGTGAATTCTGTTGTTGAATTCCAACATTACATATGCCTATATAGTACTATCATCATAAATGGACAACGTATTTGTCGACGGTAACATAGGGCAAATTATATAGCAGTCTGTAGCGAGGGAGGCCTCGAATTTGGGTGATTATTTACACAGGAAGAATGTTTAGATGTGCTACTGTGCTATCGATTGCCTACTACGGTTACTGGTCGTCATTAGGGAAATTCGCTAGATCTCGTCGTGTTATGAGTAGTACTTTGGTTTTTTCAAAGCAAAACCAATACATAGAATTAATAGATGGACTTAGTTACTCGACCTTAACGAGCGTCAACAATAATGTTTATTTATAGCGACATTTGCTTTCCGACACACCAGTACAAGCAAATAGGTTCTGAGTTACCGTATAGCTAGCAAATAAACAATTTCTGATTTTGTTTTTTCAGTTTGAAGCTAGAATGCGACAAATTAGCGACAGAGAAGACGGAGATGCAGCGCCATTACGTGATGTACTACGAAATGAGCTATGGGCTCAACGTTGAGATGCATAAACAAGTAAGTCTAAAATCACCTCTAAAACTTACGTAAGTTTGACGTCTAGTGGAGTGCTGCAGGGTGGCCGATGGCAGCAAATCAGGACGGTTCGAAAGAAGCGGTATTCTCCTTAGAGCCCGAAGGGCCGACGCACGGCTGCCTGGGCATCGAAGATACACGATTTCTAACATAGGATCAGCGCAACAATGATTCATCGGCGACGGTGAACGAATTGTATCAGAGTCAGAACAATATGCATGGATCTATTATAGGGATCGATCAGATTCAATTACCCAAGCTGATCTTCTGTTACTAAGTTGTGGCCACACGTTGATTAGCGTTCACGGTCAGAATTCTTCGCTCTTAAGTCGACTGGTGCGTGACCGACATATAACTGCTCTCTTTGCAAAAATATTTTCTTCTCTGCGGTTGGGCCTGCCGGTGTCTAGATGGACAGCTACTAACTAACATCCGGCACTGGAATGATGAGCTTTTCTCTTTTATGGTCTATCTGGTGACATAAAATAGACGACGGCTGAGTTATAGGACTGACTTCAAGTATCAGCTCTTGTTAGTGTCGAGTCCACGCACTGCAGTCGACTGAAGACTTTGGCTGAAGCTACGCTTGGATCGGCAAATGGAGACTGCGACGATCCTGAAGACCGTGACACAAAGTACAGATATTATAAATAGCCAAGCGAGGGTTCTTGAATTGAGATTCGGGATTGTCAATTACTATTACTATCATTGTTATGCGTTACTGTATTAGATGATATTTACGTTGGGTAACTGTGCTCAAGGTGGGCGTGCTCTGTTTATCCAAGCAAAACCAAAACCTGATGGGTATTAAATTGTTATATAATTAACATTAATCAAATAATTAACAATTAATTAAATTGAGTGGCCATTGTAACAGCTAGGTAGAAGCACCTTTAACGGGGCTGGATGTATAATATGAAGTTTGTAATCTCAATCGATCAGAAGACACGGTTTCCTACGCCTCAAAAACCCATATGCCCATGGAAGCTATCTAATCATGAATGTACTCAGCAACCGTGGGATACCGTGACCATAATCTGTGTTCTTATGATTGATTTCGTATAGTATTAGCGGCTACGATGTTCGTGTCTATTTGCTACTATACAAAACTGTTTCTTTTATCATACAGATTCTGAAGATCGCAACAGATAACACGTTATGTATACGAGTTGTACAAACCGACCAAAGCTCTACTTGCAGATTACGCATTTCAGCTCTTTAGCCTCCTCGAGTTTGTTTCTCGTTCAGTCAATAGCGGTAGCATAGGAGTCTCTGTGTAGCTAACTCATTAAGACGTACGACGATTAGTTTGAAACAATTTCTTTCTTGGTCCCTATATATCTCCTTATATTAAATGTGTCAGGGGATGAAAGGCAAGGCTTGACTTATTGGCTAGCCAGTTATTGACCCGGGTATTCTACAGAATTTGTTGCCCCCTCAAGACAAATAGCTCGTTTAGCTAATTAGGACTCTGACTTAGGCCCAAGGCGGTTAGTGCTATCAGTATACGTAGTTCCTTTTATCGAAGCCACTGCGCTCCTAATGAATCTCGTGCGCTTCCGCGCACCTATCAATCCACCCTATTTCCCCAGTTGATTTGTTCACTTGGTTGACAAGGCCGTTGTTAAGCTGTTGGTACGCTCCAGCTGTACTGCCAGTAACAGCTTTGTACTTGCCAACCATGGCAGGACAGAGTAAGCGCGGGCAGTGATCGGTAGTGGACCTAGGACGGCCACAGGATCAGTGCTGAACGCAGAAGGGATTGACAACAAATACAATCAGCCCTATCAACCGTGCCATTCTTCTGGATTAATTTCAATGCGGTTCGAATTCTATGGGATAGCTGTTGTTCTTTGGGGTGGACTTTGGGATGGACTGGGCGTGGAGATTGGTGGTAAGAAAATGACGTTGCAGAGGACGCTTGTGGCGTCGCTGCGTTGCCGGGCCAACGAAAACGGTGATGATGATGATGATTAATTAATTAATTGCAAATGGCACTAACTAGAGCAAGCTTTGTTACGCCTTGTAGAATATTGTGATCACTAATTACTGGGTAGTCATATTCGAAAGATCTGCCTTTCATTGCTACCACTATTGCTATTCTATAAAGTTTCTACTATAGTTGGTGGCGGCACGACGTTGAAGACGTCTAAAACTTAATGACACCTAACCTTTTACCTATCTCATAAGGTTTCATCTTTTCGCACAAGACTCTCTCTATCTCTATCTCCCTCTCGCGACGCACTACACGCTACGCCGCTATTGCTATCTAAAACTGGCGGGGAAAAACGATCCAGGCAGTCGCGGCTGCGAAAAATAGAAACAGCACTAGAACCAACAGGAGGTGAGGTAAGTGATAAGGGCTACGTGTGTTACCACTCAAAACGACATGACATATACTGCTCGATTTTACCACACGAGATCCACCACAATTTTGACGTTTCCAGCAAATAACGTTTGCCGAGGTCATTCAGGGCCAAGAGTGCTAAGTCCGGCGTGTTTCGTGAACTACAATACGTTACTTCACACAAATAGCCGAGATGCTTTGCCTCCTTTGTACCGATTAGCTGGTCAAGTTGTCAACATTTAGTTGTTACTAATTTGGTTGTTTATATGATCGCATTCGTTGTTATTGCTGTACTTACTGTTGTTGTAATCCTTGTTGTGGACATTGGGCTCTTCGATAGAAACGTGAATCACTAACGACGTTGACTAACATCGTTGGCTATTAGCCACTGAGTCTAGCTATCTCTGCCCTGCTCACCGTGGTGAGTAACATTGATTATCATGTCTTTTTACATGTAAATGGATATACTGGTTCATTTGCAAAGGTGCTGGCAACAGATAACGCCTGTAAGGACCGGTAGCTCTAGCTCGCCCCAGTGGCAACGCTTCCGCAGTGCCCCAGGCTTGTGAGGCAGCAAAGGAACGGTGCATCGCTGTTGACAAAAATCGTTTGGAAACGGCATGACGACAAAGTCTTCGTCAGTTTTCGAAAGGACGTTGCATCTGGGCTGCGATGTAGTACGGCGTCATCAAGTTCCGTAGAACGCTGCTGCTCTCAAAGGGATCCACTCAGAACTACATACGAGCTATCTGCTTCTTATTGACAGTACAGTATAGCACTAATTGATTCTGTTGAACAGACATGTGAGCAATAACAACAGCCGTGGCAACAGCATCAAAAACAACAACATGCTTAACATGTAAACCAAACATGAGTTGGTCTATCTATCTATAACAAGCGGAACGGCAGGAAACAAAAGTCAACGCCATCTTTAAATCGTTTGCCATTGGAACTGCTGCTGCCGTTAAGCGTACACGCGCGCTAATTTCCTCAATTCGAATTTGTATTATCATAATCGCACACGGAGCAACGCTATCAGCGGTGGCGGTAGGCAGACGGCGTTAGGTCTACTCGAGACTGAAGTGGACGATGAAATGAGAGACGAGGAGAGGGTGGCGGTAGATTGAGGGGGAAGCGGAATGATGACTGCGATTGTAATAATGATGATCATGACGGTATTGATCGTTGTGGTGGCGACGGTAGCGGTAGGCGAAAGTGAAATGAGGCTGCAGAGCGAAGAGTCGCAAAGAGTAATTTTACGCGGTGTAGCTCGACTCAAGAGCAGCTTTGTTGCGGAAAAGTCCAAAAGTAACAACAGTAATGGCCAAGGCCTGAAGGACGACGGAGTTGTTGTCTGGTGAACAGACGCATCGATGCAATCCGCAGCCTTTTTCGCTCTCGGACACAAACACATGGTCGGAACCGCAGACGCTGACGTGCAAGGTATAAGTAAGGATTTTTCAATGTGCCAGTGCGCGTAGATGCCTGCGCGCCGTTGTAGAGCTGCGTTCAATTAACGTCGCTGCTGCCATCTTTTCGGTCACCGTTTGTTACCACTATCACCACCCCTGTTATGGTTGTCGTTGTTGTTAGAACCGCTGCACAGTTGCCTGTAGGCCTTGACTCAGTCAGCGGTAGATTGGCGTGGCAGCCGTTGTGGCCGTTTGTCGGTCGCCCGGCCGCTTCTCGTGGTCTGCGGTAATCAACACTCTAGAATCGTCCGCGAACGAGTAATAACAACGGCAAAGCAGTATATATATATATATATATACATATATATAGAAACAACGCTGCGATCTGCTCGTCATACAATACCACGATAGTTTAAGCGTATAAATGGGGCGCGATCCAGACTAGTAGCAAGCCTTTCAGTCAGGTTCCGGCCAGATTGGCGACACTTCGAGCCGTTGTCGTAGTTGTCGAGTGAAATCATTGACGGGCCCTTCTGACTGCGTTGCGTGTGTCCACTCACTCCGATGTAGCTTGCTCGGGCCAATTTTTACTGCGTGTTAACTGCTTTCAATCGCTTGGGGTTGTCTGTTTGTCTAATTGTCTGACTGTAGCTAACCTTCTCGCAGTATAATCGACCAATACTGTGCTCAGTAGAAAAACGGGGACCAGAACAGTCTTACCACTCTCATCGGGTCATATACAAATATCCTCGAATACACTGGCGCAAACACACACACACACACACAGAGCGCTGTCAAAAACAGGATGAAACATTCAACTATGTCATTCGTCCGCCTGCACCGCCGGCGATTACTACGGTTGCCTCTGTTACCGTCGCCCTCGTGTCCGTCTCTGGTGGGTACGTCGACATTTCAATAAATGATGGTGTCTGATTGTAGCTTGGCGGTAACAACAAGGGGCCAACAAAAGCCGTCACGATAACAACAACGTTGATGATTCTGATGATGAGAATCTATCTATAAGCGAACAGTTTTTTAAACGGTGGCTTGTTTTAGTTTGGAGCTTGTGCTCCCTATTGTCACGGCATTCACAGGACGGCGACTTGTTATTATTCTGTTGAATATCAGCTGATGTCGTTAAATATTTTTATGGTAGTATCAGACTAATAGAGTGCATCTGATGGACGTTCTAGTCGATCGACCGAAATTCACCACGGAAAGGAAAAGATCAGTGCAGTATCTGGTTAGTTTGAAAAAACGAGGGTAAGCTTTCTATAGTTCTTCGAGCACAATGTTTAGTAGTTTTAGCGCGCAGCGTTCACACCAGCAAAAGCTTGCTACAGTCATCCAACATGTGTGAGTATGCGAGCGAAAGAGTGTTTTAACAAGACATTCGATTTTGGCTCGGCCGAATCGGTCTGGCTGTCTACCCTGTTTTTACAACAGAAAAATCAAGGTTTACACGAGAAAATAACGTTCACCGGAAGGATACATAACGAAAGCCTGTTACATTCATCCGATCAGACAGATTATCAGACTTATCTGGCCAGCAGCAGATCATTCAAGCTATAACTTGGTATGGTAGACTTTCCTGTGATGGCGGGTGCGTGGTTAGGGCCGTAATTGTCACTATTGTAGCTGCTTTATTTTTGACTCGTTTTTCTACCTCTGGGCCTTCTAGTAGTCGCTTGTCTAAGCTCAGCGTCCTATTTGAACTATATAGGGCACTGAACAAAAATTGCTGACTGCAAGAGATATCGGTTCGATCGTCCGAATGGCTTCAGGCAACTGCGATCTCACACACCCAATATAAAGATCGAAACAATGGCGTACATTGAATTCCCCCTACCTTATTTCTACTATGTACAGAAAAAGCACCGTTCTGCCTATCCTAATAAATATACATAGCGGCTTGTGGATGCCAAACGGTAACTGTGGGTAAGTGTGTTTTACGATCTGTTAGCCAGGTAGCTGCGGTGATACAACAGGACAAGTTGCCTTTTATAAATGTTATACATTGCGTATGAGTACTTGCAGGAGGCTTGTTTTAATCGAGTTTCGGCTCATTCCAGTCGGATTTCTAGTGCGGTCATGTCTTCATTTCGATTTTGCCTCCATGTTGTTATCTGCCGCCCGTCTGCCAACAACAGTAAACTGAATCAGGTGTCTAGACTCATGCAGTTGCTGGTCGTTGAGCTGTTCATAGGGTTCGTAAAGGTTCACTGGTTAGTAGCAAAGCTGCAAAGATTTGTGACCATAGTAGAAAGTGGGACAACTATATACCCGTTTTGTTCCATACGCACGTGGCAAAGACGAGACAAGGCTATGCCATGATCATTTCGCATCGACATTAGACCATAAGGTCTAACTACAGTGTGAGCTGTGTGAAAGCTAGTCGTGCCAGGGTTCAGCTATTCCCCCCAGTAGTTTCCCTCTGATTGTGGTTTTGTTACTGCTGCTGCTGCTTCCGTTAGGGCTGCTGTTTGTTGTCGGAGGCCGGTAATGAAATGGTCGAACAGTGGTGTGCGGGTATGCTACCGATCGAAAAAGGCCGACAGTATTGGTCTTCCCCACTGGGCCTCTATAATCTCTACTTTTGCCATTACTACCCCTGCGTGCTGCCGTTCATCCGAAAACAGCTCCCAGCGCTTTCCTGTCGATGCCGGCCTGTCTCTCCATCTATTGGCGTGCCGATTCGATTGGCCTATTCGTGTTTTTATTTATCTACGTATATGTGGTATGAATGACTCGTGCGACTCCGTGTGGCTCTAGCGATACGGGTGCTGGCTGGATACACTGCTGTTGCCGTTGCTTAACAGGCATATGCAGTCGTCGGCGCACAATGCTCAGCAGCCGTATTGAGACGGCCAAGTCTGATGGTTGGAGCTCATCGTTTCACTCAAAGAACAGCCGCGTCTTGGGGGGAAGGGGGCAATAGGTGACTAGTTAGGAGGGCAAGTGGACTAAGCGATGGCGGCTAGAGCCACACTTTCATTTCTTGGTCTGCCCAGCTGGTTTTGATAGTTAGGCGCGGGACTGAGCCGAACGCCGCTGCTGGTTGGAGCAATGGTAGCAGAAGTGTTTCGGTCAATAGACGCGCCTGGACCTATGAATGAACAAGCGGATGCAACGTTTAGTTACTTTGCTCGCTGGCCTATGAGCCCGTAGTGTTCCCGCACTACGGAGAACACAGCCAAAGTCGCAGTAGTTGCCGCCGTGATGCAGTAGCTGATGTTATCGGCGACCCAGTCCCTCATTCGCCAACGGAGCGGGCAGCATGCTAGACGCGTGATAAAGAAAAACTTCGATAGTGATATATGCATTTTTGGCTATTCTTATCTAGCAAGGCGATAGTATAGATGAGATGGGAAGCTAGCCACTACATCTCGAGGGTTTCGCTCAGTTTATTTTACTTATCCGAAGTTCAACGTGCTTTTCAACTTCCACAAACATGTGGCTTTCGTTGTGAGTCGCTTGATCGAGCAGCAATACCTTGTGGCAAAATTCGAGTAGAGAGATGTTCCGACGGTAAATAAATGATACATATATTTGTGAAAATATATGCAACAATGCCGATCTGTAATGATCATACCTTCTATCGCCATAACGAGGTGCATCGGTGCGTTAATGGTAAATAATAAACACAGGTGAGAAAATTGAACATTTTAAAATAAAGATGCCGAATAGAGATAGAAGTAACAACTGAGACATCTTTTGTTGATCCACAAATAGACATCAATCACGATGATATTTTGTGTTTCTACCCCCCCCTTCGTCATTTAAACCATTTTAATAATACAGTTCTCGAGCAGCGCTATCTTCAGCGTAATGAGATTGGTTAAATATAGAAATTATGATAGGAGCAGAGGAGCGTTAGTGGCTGAAGCTTGTAGACAGTGTAATTTTACAAAACGCTCAAGATCATATACACACAGAAACAGAGCTATATACTGGCAGATCTTTCGGAATGACGCACGGTCTGATGAGTCCCATTTACACGGACTGGGTCGCACAGATCAGTGGTGGGGGATAGCACATAGAGCTGCAGCCGAAGCTGCGCATGAGCACAGAACACAAACTTGTTTATACCGCTGCAAATCCATTTTGTATGATAGTCATTATATAAAGAAAATCCTTAAGCAATCCTTCGTGCGACGCCAGTGCCTTTTTGGTTGCCTCGTCTGCGGCCATTCTCGGTCAATTGAAGTCCGCCACTAGCGTGAAGATAACAATAGCAGCAGTAACAAGCACGCAACCATCTTGCAAAGCAACCGACTCGTCTCGTTTCGTTACTTATCTCGTATTATTGCGTACAATATTGTATTGGCGTACTGCAATATCAACGGTGAGCGCAAGAACACTGTCAAATATGCATGCATACTGTTGCAATCGGTGTCCAGCTACAACTTTCTGACGGTCTGCCTGTCAGCATAAGTACAACAATACGCGCTCAAGCATCGATTAGATGATTGTTCAGTCAGAATCTTTCTACATCGAGTAGAGGCACGGGGGATGGGGAGTGAGTGAACTAAACCTTGAAATGGACAGAGCAAGTGACCACTGGCTGGTCCTGCTAGTGACAGAACGCTTCAAATTGAGTCAAATTTAGCTTCTGTAAACTGGAAGGGGATCTTATCGTTGTTAAGAATTTTGTCCGGCAAAGATTTAGACAGCGGTTGTGCCAGCTAGGGCACTTGTTCTAGTGATAACCTGTAAAATAGTAAGACATTGGTCGAGCGGGTCGGAACGACGGACCGGTAGCCAGATGGGAGACTAATGCTATGACACTATAATATAACTGTAACTGGTAAAATATAACAAATAATTTAGCCTAACGTTGAATAATACATACATCTGTATAGCGCCACCCTGTCCTTAGAAGAACCGCAACGAGTCGACCGAACCATGACGGGATCGGATGCACGCCACAGACAGGACGGCAGAATGCTTCCCACAACTTAAATTTTGCTACTATTACTATTCTGTTTCAGGACCATGCCGATGACAGGTGCATTGATGATAGTGATTCATGTCCACTTTCGACCGTTGTGGGTATTATTACCTAATCGACGAATAGCCGTTTACGCTAACCTGTCTCGCTTCGATGCGCTTTTCAGACGGAGATCGCTAAGCGATTAAATGCGATCATCGGGCAGATACTTCCGTTCCTATCACAGGAACACCAAGGTCAGGTCGCCGCAGCCGTTGATCGGGCCCGTCAGGTCACAATGACAGAGCTCAACGCCATTATTGGAGTAAGTGAAATCGGAATGCGACAAGATTACACTTTCAACTGGACAGAACACGAACGAAAACCCAAATATAGCCATTGCAACAACAGAAATACTACATGTCATCACCAACTTTATACAGTAACATAGTAGTTAGATAAAAAAAAAAAGCCCGGTATCAAATGAATGCAATCGCATCCAAAGTCACCCACGGGCCCAAAATTTAAACAGAACCGTCGCCTCGCACTAGAAGCTACCACCAAAAAAAATACACCTCGGGCTAAAATCAAGCAGCCGTTAACGCTAACGCCGGCGCCAAATGTTCATGGCGTCGTTTCATTAAGTATCAAACGCGGAAGAGAATCAGCGGCCGGAAAAGCAAGAACAGTCAAGAAATACGTTAGATTAACAACGAATACATCGTGAACTGTGAATTGCAAAACTGTGAACTTCAAATTTACCAAGTTAAAAAAAATATCAGCAAGACACTTGTACACCCGAAATAGTGGAATTGCCTCTCGGTATTTTTCATCCAACAGTCACGGCGAAATACCTGCGTGTACTTCTCGACGAAATTTTGCCCCGATGGGCTATACAGTAGTAATCCTGGTTAATTTGGTCTACAAGCGCTACAAGAGTCCGGTGGCCATTCGGTACGCAGTAAACGCGTAACACACCCTACAACCTCCAGCAGCTACGAGCTGAGAAAAAGCTGAACATCCTGCGCTTATGCATCGTACCTCTTGCCTACCTTCTGTGCGATGCTTCATCTTCCATTCTCCACTTGGCTTTCTATTACTAGTTCGAGCGCTCAATCGCCTCTGACAGAAAAAAAAATACCGAAAAAAGAATCTGGTTGCTCCTACTTTTCCGTTATACTGCGATTCACCAACACAAGCAGCGCCGCCCAGTGCTCCAGCGTAATTTACATATATAGTAAAGCAAAAGTAGTAGTCGCAGAGGTAGCAATGCGACAAGAACTGGGGCCACTTTGCGGCCATTGGAGGAAGTACGTACGTACGTACGTATGTATGTATGTATGTATGTATGCATGTATGTATGTATGCATGTATGCATGTATGTATGTATGTATGTATGTATGTATGTATGTATGTATGTATGTACGTATGTATGTATGTATGCATGTATGTATACATACATATGTATATGTGCATGTATGTATGCATGTATGTATACATACATATATATATGTGCATGTATGCATGTATGTATACATACATATGTATATATGTATGTATGTGTGTGTGTGTGTGTGTGTGTGTGTGTGTGTGTGTGTGTGTGTGTGTGTGTGTGTGTGTGTGTGTGGGTGTGTGTGTGTGGGTGTATCTATGAATTGTGTGCATACAGAAACACAAAACACATATGGCCGCACTGATGCACGTACAGATGCTTATCTAATGCAGTGGTTTACTGAATTTCCGGCTGGTTGCAAGCCACTAATAGAAGAGCAGTGTCGGCTATGGTCCTTGGCTAGTGAAACTGGTGGAGACGAAGTAGTCGTTGTTGCCTTCAGCCGATCGGTAGCAGTCGCTCGTTCGGCCATCTCGTCGTCGCGAACAATTAAATCCTGGCGCATGTCGTCTTTTTACACCGGGATCGTGTTTACAGGCTAATTCTCGATGTATGATACTAGTGCGTGGAATTGCGTACCTGTCACAACACTGTTTCTTACAACATATTTATAAAACCGCGCTTACGTAAGCATGACCTCTTCTATGTCTTTAACAGAAATACATATATGAAGTTATATTATTAGCTAATATAACCACCATTTTGAACGAATCTTCAAGGACATTGTGTTGTATTATATTATCTCAAGAGGTATGCGTATTGCACGTATCCAATGGATATTGAACGTCAGTGACGTTCGTTTTGCTAGGAGCCAGCTAGTAGCCATGATATGAAAGAGATGATCTCGTTCGTATTGTGTTTTACCGCTGTCAGCGTCGAGCTTAAAGTAGGGATTTCCTCTTATCCGGTTCCCGCCGTCGCCTACGGCATATTCAACCGTTCAACTGAGCTGTCCAGACCAATTCACCTATACCTTACTGGTGTGCAGAATGACAGATCGTGAAGTCGTCAAACACCAAAATAAATTACCAGAACCATTTATTCATTTCTTTCTTGAAACGGTCTTCTTTGCTTTTTACTCTACTTTACAATAATTGACTGAAAAGGGAAATCGTTGACGCGCGTCCCGTCAGCTTCGGCATTATTATGTTGTCAATGTGAGCTTTGTCACGTTCCCACAGCTGGCCGCGGTGGCCACCAGCAACCCAACATTTTGAGACACTAGCCCAAAGCAAGGTTACGAGGGTGGCTGTCTGGTGTGTAGCAATAGTAATTACGGCTACGCTCAGCAAATTATTGAGCGACAGCGTCAGCCGTCCCTGTGGCCGATTCACCAACGATTGTTTATGCTAGAAATAGGCTAGTAACACGACGCCATTGGGTTTATGCTATTCACGTGCATAGTCATCGTATAGTCAGTCCTATTAGGCCCACCTCGAATTTGGCCGCGTGGATAATTTTGATTTTAAAGGAACTTTCGTACGATACTAATGATTTTCTACAACAGACGATGTTCGTATACTTCTCTGTCGAACTGTCTCGGTCGCAGCGTTTCCTGCGCGCTTAATTTTGAACTTCTAGGCTACACTTAAATCGACTATGAGAGACGGTCAACTTTAACCCGTTGACATGGATGGTCTCAATAGCGGGTTGACAATTGTTCAACATTAGGTGGGCAGGCCAGCATAGAGAATGTAGGCGACAATATGCGATCCGATAGCAGAGCGCTATGTGGTTCGTTTAAAGTTTTATCATTTGAATTGCTCATCGAATGATGTACCATAATTATTGTTGATAGATAACGCTTTGTTGCCTATTGGTCTGTCAACTTACATTTTCTCTCCAGTTCTCCAAGGCAATTTTATCGTTGTTGTTCCATTTGTCGATTTCGTCAACGCTTTTGAAGTTATCGAGATTACTCGTACGATCGAAGTCGGTCACGATCGCTAACTTACGGATCGTCGACAACTGAAACTACAATATAACGGTAAAATCAGCGTTCCGACAAACGTGTGCATCCCTATACAATTTTCGCCAGTGCAAGAAGTTCTCGTATCAGTACCACTTTGTGTTGCTCGGTGGTCCTCGCACGTTAAATGGAATCGTTCCTGACAACTTCAGCCTGTTGCTTGAGGGTCGCTTTCGACTAACTTCGCTATTGACAACGGTCAGAGCGTTCATCACCATGTACCGCTGTTGTAGCCACTGTATGTAGCATGAAGTATCGACCGCGTATTAGCACGGCAGTCGTCTCAGAGTTTATCAAATATACACTGTTTTTCTCACTAATGCGTTGTTACAACATCGATTCACTGATGCTCCTTCTTGGAAGCGAGAGGTTCATTTTATCAGTCATGAGAAGCCAGTTTTTTTTTAGGATCGTAGAGGATCGTGGGACTTCATGAACTAGGGGGGGACACTTACTGTAACTTTAGCCATTATAGGCAAGCTAGCAAACAGAGGCGCCGATATCCTCAATTCGTTCACGTCCGAAAGAACGTGTCGCGATGGCGGCAAATAGTTACATTCACAAAAAGGTCGAAACGTACGTGAAAACAGATACAGGCTTGGTCTGCGGCTGGAGCAAGGCATGAATTTCTAAATACGACAGCTCATATGTATAACATTAGATTAACAATACGTTAATATTGAAGAAGATCTTGAAACTTTCTCATACTGCAGCCATTTCTGTAGTTATTTCGACGAGATGATTTGAGTTAATACACAGGATCCTTGTTGGAAATGGGGAAAAGATACACAATTGATAAAAAGCTAAATTGGAGTACGGGCGCATAAACACCCAATTAGATCAACATCGTTTTTTACCTTGCGTTACCAAACCAACTATCGTATTAACAATGATTGGGGTAAAACAACGTCGCACCGCCAATGCTGTTTACTATTCACAGCCATTCAACACTAGAAGTCGTCGTAACAGCACCTACGTATGATAGACGGCTACATGTCATAATTTGTCGTAGCAGAAGCAGCAGAAATTACGCCAGACATTAGAACTTACTACCTTTCTGCCCTATCTTAAGCGATCAAAAAGGAAGATGACCCGTCGCTGTTTAACGTCTAACGAACAGTAAATCTACGGCGGTACTTTGTTGAGTGGTGATGGCGCTGCGCCTCCCGGTACGCTTAAGTCGTCTTGTCTATTTGTTATAATATATAGAATGTGCCGGTACGATCTATGTCGACTGTACGAGCTTTGGCATATGTAAAAAAACACTGACAAACAGTGACGCACACAATATAGAGGCAAGCGATAGCTTACGCACCTGATAGAAAAGTTGTAGAGCGCCAGATATAAAAAACACAATGGCTGCTACTGTCTCAACCCAACAGCTATCCCGTTACTCCGTCAGCCATCGCTCCCTAACGTTACTTATCTCCATTCCTTGATAGGGGCAACAGTAGAAAACGATGGACGTACTAAGCGCCGGGCGTCGGACCATTGGACAAATGAAGAAATAGATAAATGTCAAAGGACGTATGAGACTGGTAGAACATGTGAGATGCACAAAGAGCAAATGGTGCTACCCGCTCAGCTGCCTAAGCCGCCAATGAACTTAGATAGCGGACTAGGTAACAGTCTCTTAGCAATCCTAGAATACGATGTCCCCAGGACAGCAAATACGGTTAGGACCGCCTTTAAAATTGTAGGTTTGCTTACTCATCACTAGACAGACCAGCGATCGTTGATAGATCGGGTACAGTCTTTTTGTTTTGCGGAATCGTACGACGGCGTGCTGGCCGGCCAACGCGGGTCCCTTTGCAAGCGACTCAGGGGTGCGTCGTCAACTAATAGAAATAATAGCACGGCCAAACGTGTATAACCTAGTGATATCGTTTACTTTTCCGCCGCTGGTTGTTATTAACGCATCTTGAAACGAATAAGTACAGAGGATCGTATTCATCATCAGTAGTACCAAACCAAAAATATTCACTCACCCGTAAATACGCGCGTGGGTACATGAGTATTTCCATGCTACTATTATACGTAGACGTTATGAGCGTGCATACACACGTAAACGACTTAGCTAACGTTCTAAATATTATCGCATTTTTCCTATTTTAGAAACAGACGTGTTTGTGTTATGTCAAGATAACTGTTTTTATTGTTATTGCTATAAGCCGAGTCGTTCTACAGCAGCCATGGATCTCGTCTATACATCGATGTCTTACAAGTAATATATATCTTGTATATATGCATACACACATTTAATGGATGTTCCCTTCTTGATATCCGGTCCTGGTTTCTAATCATAGCAACAGATGCATGCACAGCAAATGCCCGCCCATGCTCATGCCCCAAGTCTACCGATGATTCCACACGCGGCGGCAATGGCAGCTGCTGGCCTGCAGCCACCACCGCCTACAACTGCTGCCGGCCTCTTGGCTTTGTCATCGCTTGGAGCTGCTGCAGCACCTGGAGCGCACCTCGCCGCGGTGTCCTCGGCGGCGGCCGCAGCTCAAGTGCTGAAGGATCGCGAAGAACAGAAACGATCTTCGTCCGTGCACAGCACTGAAGAGCGGCACGTCAGCAGCGTATGTATTCGCTTCTTTTTGTCGAAGAATAACTTGTATTTGATTTTTTCTCAGCTTAAAATGTGAAGGTTCATACAGCGGCAAATTTTCGTTCGTGTTTTTAGTGAGCAGTCGCACTCTAGAGCTCTCTTTTTTATCATCATTCAAAAAAGAGCAGTATGCTGAATTTGTTTTTGTTCTATCAGGCAAGGAGTTCTATTATTGCTATTATTAACGTAAAGCCCATTGATCTTTGCTAGGCTTTCGATGATGCTTATGATTGTTGTTCTAGGGAGAATGATGACGCTGATGTTGTGGTTATTTTAATTATAGCGGAACTCGATCTCGCCCGGTGAGCGTGAAAAGTTCCGCTCATCCACCCGTACACCTGACATAGACAACGACCTGAAAAAACGCAAGAAAGAGGAGAAAGACTCCGACGGGGAAAAGAGCGATCAGGAGTTGGTGGTAGACGTCGCCAATGATGACTCTGTTGGACCTGCTAATGGAAACGGTAATTATCATAGGCCTACTACTTGGCCTGTCGAAGTAGGCTGCCATCAGAGTAACGAACTCTTATTCTCTTCATGCAGAATGGCCCATAGATCATCCCCTGAGAAATAGTAGCGACATACTCTCACTATAATATACAGCAATAGTACCAACAATTGTTGTAGTATACAGTATGGAATTAAAGCGAGGATAGCCAATATTTCTAAACAAAAATAGGCCTACCATTAGTTAATCAGGTAGGGTGTCTTCTTTTTCCCATTATATCCCTGTCCAGTGGCAGTGCGGCGTGTTCTTCTAAAACTAGTGCCGTGCCCTCGTTGCTCATTCAGTTCTATTCGTGCCTACGATTTTTTCACGAATACGATCTACAGACGACTGTATATAGTCCGGTAATCCCGATGTCCGCCTAAGCGGATAAACATTTTTCTACCTTTCACCTCCTTAGACTCATCACTACCGGGTCATTTACTGAATCGTAAAAGTCAATGGTGACTATCTAAGCTAATTGAAAGTATTCAATGACCTGATACACTTTTTTTTTTACAAGATTGTTTCGCTTCATTGTTTGTCTTCGATTTGCTTTTCGGAACATTTCGCTGCCATCACTACGTTGTTCTCGTCTACTTATCACGCCGCTTTTCCATTACATTCTGGTTTACACCGTCCGCTGGCCTTCATTTATTGCTTGGTGTCGACTTTTCGTCGTATGCTTGTTGCGAACTACCTCGTCGTGTTGGATCCTCCAGGCAACGCTAGTTCCCCGCGAGAGAACGGTACGGCGGACAAAGTGATTAAGAAGGAGCATTCGCACTCGCCTCATTCGTCTAATTCGTCGACGCCCAAGGGAAGCGCCCAGGGGGGGCATAAGGACGGACAGGCGGGCGCCTCGGGCTCCGCTGCCGCCGCCGCCGCACCTATGACCAACGGGGAGAAGAGCTCCACGCCCAAGCCGGCCACCCCTAACTCACAGCAACAGAGCAATGGTACGTAGTACAGAAAGAAGAATCTTTTCAAGCATCGATGCAGACCGGTTCGTCTCTTAAACCGGTTTAATGCCTGTTCGGACCCTCGTGCATAATTTTTGCTTTCGCATTCGCAGCAGATCTACCACGTATGCAGATATAGGATGATGGTGTGTGTATTGACAAATTTGGTGTATTGACGGGCTTACTAGCAATTGCTAAATACAAATGGCTGTATGGGAGAAGACGGCTATTGTGTACAGATAAAGTACATGCCTGCAGAGCGTAGACTATGCTGGCAGGAGACGACGTAACGAAGTAGTTGAGTTCGCCTAAAATCTTGCGTGCATACGGATAATAATAATTAGTTTGACGTTATGATGCATCGATCGGTCGTTTTCTGTATCAAGCGTCGCATGCAGGAGAGTTGGGTATTGTACTGTATTAGAATTACTATCATGTGTTTGAACTATCAGCGCACTACAATTAGTATGCAGAAGCTTCAACACCGTTTGGTGACAATATGCGCTTAGTGTAACAATGAACTTTTGTAGCGGCTTAGCTGATAGTGTTGGAATTGTTTTTTGGTTCTTCGCTAATGTGGTTGTTAGGTGGCGGTCCGGGAACTCCGGGCCCAGCCGGCTCCAGTGGCATCGCCAAGCCTGCCCTAGCAGGCCCTCCAAAGGGCCCAGCATCTCTTGGTCCCCCTTACCCGTATCCTCTACACGGAGGGGCGCCCCCCGGCTCACATGGACTGCCTGCAGACCTGTCCGCATACCCGCAAGGTGAGCACCGGATATGTACCGTAGATACGTATAAGCAGAATATAAGGATTATGGTGATTGACAAAGCGAGTAAGGCCAATAATTTGGCTTTTTTTTTAAATGACTGCATCCCTCATGTTTATTTTTCTTCATGAATTTATTATTGTTATTGTTGTTGTTGTTGTGGTTATTGTTACTGCAGGTATGCTACATAATAATCTGTCTCCAGCGCTGAACTCGTACCCCAGGGGGCTTGTGGGCTACGACCCGCACCCCTCAATGAGAGGAGCCGGTTTCGGCATGCCGAGTGGCGGTAAGCCCGCATACTCGTTCCACGTGTCGTCCGAGGGCCAGATGCAGCCTGTACCGTTTCCGCCGGATGCCCTGCTAGGCGCCGGAATTCCTCGACACGCTCGTCAGATCAACACGTTGGCTCACGGCGAAGTTGTCTGCGCAGTAACCATCTCCAACCCGACAAAGTATGTCTACACCGGGGGTAAAGGCTGCGTCAAGGTATGGGACATCTCGCAGCCCGGCAACAAGTCGCCAGTGTCACAGTTGGACTGCCTCCAGCGTGACAACTACATCCGCTCGTGCAAACTACTACCGGATGGCAGGACGCTGATTGTTGGAGGCGAAGCGTCTACTATCTCGATTTGGGATCTCGCACCGGTACGTATTTGACTGGAAAACAGGAGCGAAGTGCAATGCTATACATTTGTATCATGATAAATCATTGTCAAATCGATCTATATTTAGAAAATATAAATGTTTGATTATAGCGGGTTATAGATTTAGAACTTGCAAAAACATATGCCCAGCTGCGGGACTCAAACGAGCGATATCCGACTCTTAACATATATAGTATCTAACTATAGGTTGCGTCTGCTTAGACTTTAAGATCGGGCTCTTATAACCTCATTCGATAATTTGAGCCTAAGAACTGTCACCATGGCTTGTTTAGTTAATGCGTGTCTGTCTACCTATTTTATCTCACGCTGTCGACTAGTATCAGTAGGTATTTGAACGCAATCGATAGATCTGCAGATACTTTCAGTAAAAAAAAAAATAGTTAGCTGAGCTTTGTGTGGGTGCTGACTAGCTCAGTTTTTACTGTTTTTGTTTTTCTTTCATGATGTTCCATACCGCTTTCGTCATCCGCTTCCCTGTTTGTTTGTCATCCTGCAGCCAACACCGAGGATAAAAGCCGAACTGACATCGTCAGCACCCGCATGCTACGCGCTGGCTATCAGCCCCGACTCGAAGGTCTGCTTCAGCTGCTGCAGTGATGGTAACATCGCTGTATGGGACCTGCACAATCAAACTTTGGTGCGACAGTTCCAAGGTCACACCGATGGCGCCAGCTGTATTGATATTTCAAGCGACGGCACCAAGCTATGGACAGGCGGGCTCGACAACACGGTCCGCTCATGGGATCTACGTGAGGGCCGGCAACTTCAGCAGCACGACTTCAGTTCGCAGATCTTCTCATTAGGCTACTGTCCAACAGGCGAATGGCTAGCGGTGGGCATGGAGAGCAGTAATGTCGAAGTGTTACACTGCAGCAAACCTGATAAATACCAACTGCATCTACATGAAAGCTGTGTTCTCTCCCTAAAGTTCGCCTACTGCGGTAAATGGTTCGTGTCGACAGGCAAGGACAACCTTCTGAACGCGTGGCGAACACCGTACGGCGCGTCAATCTTCCAGTCGAAGGAGTCGTCATCGGTGTTGTCCTGCGATATCTCCTCCGATGACAAGTACATCGTCACCGGGTCTGGTGACAAGAAGGCGACCGTCTACGAGGTCATCTATTAGACCAACGATAAGAGGAAGAGGTCGGACCGAGAGAAAAGATTGCGAGAGACGCCGATTAAAAACAACGACAAGAAGTCAGTGAAGCATACAGAGGGAGGAGAAAGCGCGAAAGAGAAGAGAGAGAAGACAGAAGTCGCTATCATCCGTTTCTTGACAGGGACTCCTCTCCGCGTAATTTAATTCTGTTCTGCTCTTCAATTACTATTACCAGCACCAGCAGTACTATTACTACAACTATCTAAAAGGGTACCTCGTACTGTGTATGCCCAGTGTAGTTTGATCACGATCAACGGCCGAGTAGCTAGCCGACCAAAATCTCGCAGCAGGAAAAAGCCAAGCGTATAACAGAGAGAAACAGAGTCTGGGATCATCAGCTTGAACACGAACGGGCAGCTGCGTATAGCAGCCCCACACAGACCAGTCGTTGCGTCATCTCACCCCAGCTGCAGCTATACATAAATAGGAGCTTTCGCAGAGTCTCGATGACGACGACGACGACGAAATAATTATTATGATTATAATAATGCTGATGCTGATTATTATTATGTGGTGCAGTGTAGGATGGACAAAGCAGCGTCAGCCGGGGCCAGCGTTATGCTCCTATTCTCAATATTTGTAAATTATCGCTCGTGTACATTGTAGATTAACAACTCAGTAAAATCAATAATAAATAAATTTCTCTATTCAATCCAACTTTATGCCGCATAGTCGTCCACTGTTCTGGGAGGGAAAACGCATGATGATAAATAAGCCAACTTAACTTAGAATAGGGTCCGTGTAAGAGGAAGCGTGGAAACGAAGGGATAGGGGCCTGGTCCAGATGCCACCGTATCAAGGTAAATAGTACGTCGCAATTGTCGGTGAGGAAATGTCGCACTAGCAAGCAGAATCTGATCTTGTCAGCAGAAAAGTGGGCATCATTTAGCAACAATAACAATGCATACTAACCGAACGCGAGGTAAATACATCATGTACGATGAAGATGAGACTCTTCGATAACTACCAACCATATAGCTCCAGTTAACACCAGTTTGTTTGCATAGCCTTGTGCCATGGGTGTACATCATCATTAGTACCAATAGTAACACTCTAGCGCGTGTAGCTCTACACGAACGTTGGGTAATTCTGACAGCTAGGCCCCATATCTCGTTGAGTGCATTTGAGTAGAGATGAGAACCCACGGCGCTTAAAGCAATTCTGTTTTCGGCGTTGCATACCTGGGGAACGGGGAAATTCAAATACAAGTGAGGCTTTTGTCGAAAGCACAAAGTGCTGGCGAATCAGTGGTTCATCTACGTTTCAAGATCCCGATCGCTATGGATGAATGACAGAAGGCACCAGCTATTGCGCCTGAGCCAATAACGAGTTACGTTTGAACTTTGTCCCAAACTGGGCGACGCCTTTTGACAAATGCGAAGGACAGCTACCTAGGCAAAACAGCCGAGCTGTCCCAGAAGTTAGAAGCATGGCTTCTTAGGAATTCTGCTCGTTTTTCCCGAACGGCCTCTCTCCATACAACTGAACGTCCTTGAAGCAACCGTAACCATCAATGCCAATCAATAGGCGTTTCCCAGCAGCCTGATCCCCACTGTTACATGAAAAGGTTAGGATCATTGTGGAGGTCAACTAATCTTGGCACAATGCTTAGCCCACGTCCGTTGGGCGTTCGTCAATTGTCGTTGAAGCTGACTATGTAGGAATACGTTTCCGGATGCAAATTTGAATGTATTTTGGTCTTCTTATTAAGAGAAACCCACTAAACTGCCTGTCTTCGTATCATCGTGTAATTTAATTGCAAGGGAAGCATCACAGTACAGCAGGGAGAAAACATATTATTTCGAAAACGTATCTGACTCTAAACCGTCTCCTTATTGTTATTTACAACGTAGTCATTCGGTTTTAATTATGTGCCCTGATAGACATCATCGCAATCACGTTGATGGGCATTGTTGGAGTTAGTTGATCTTATGGTTTTGATAGCCACAAACCACGATTTGGGGGGTGTAGTCCGCGTCATTTAAGTCATTTCTCGATCCCATTTTGCATTATTCCGTGCCGGTTCCTTCCCCCCGAGCCCACCTAAGTACCTGCCTTGATCTGCTTTCAGCGGCCGTACGTGAGGTTTTTGCGTACAAGCTTTCAGAGAAGGGCCGCGTAAATGATCATATAGCCCCCGTTCCCTCGCCTCCCCAGTCCTTCATGACCCCATTCGAAAACCCGGGAGTAACCATCGTTCACCCTGCGTCACAGTCCCACTTACACGAGGTCGCTTACTCGACGCTGAGTGCTGCCGATTACATAGGGTAATAGTACCCTTAATGCACGGACGGCGGCCGAGCCTTTGTGTACGGTTGACTTGTGCAGTAAGGGCGAAGCCAATTTCACTTATTGTAATGTTGTCGACGAGTGATAGTTAGCACTCAGTGGCGTATAGGAATCATAGCGTGAAAATGTCCTTCGGTGCTCGGTGGGCGCTTTCTGAACGGCTTGGCATCACGGGTAAACAAGCTGAGTTGGTGGCCGACCTGCTTTAGGAAATAGCAATTCAGTGAATAGAAAGTCGTGTTGCTCGGATAATAACAGTGAAAGCACACACATGTGTGCATACCTGCGAATTAGGCTTTTGTTGGAGTTTGGAATTAGCGGACGTTGCGGTACGTAATGCGTCGCAAAGAAAGCTGAACGCTGGGTGATTTGCTTGTCAAAGCCACATGGGACGACCCACCAGATAAGCCTATGTGTGAATGGTTACTGTTCGAAAATTATTCACATCAACAGACCCAGTAGGTCACAGGGCCGCTGCCCCATGTCGCTGCCAGTCGATCACGTCTATTTTCAGCTGGGTCTAGCGACATAATCAGCCTGTGGCATTCTTGCAACTCATTGACTCGCCATAAAATTCGAATAGTTTGGACGGCGACAGCGGCAATAGCATCGGACAGCACGTGTTTAACTACTCTTGGTTGTGTATGATAGTATCGACATGGTACAAAACTCACATCCACTGTTACGTTGTGATGACTCGTTTCGGGCTGCTTTGCTTTTATATGCTTCTTCATCCGATATTTGTACGTGTCGTAGCTAAATAATTTATATTGCAGCCAAAGTTACACTTGCGTTAGGTGTAAATAAGTAGTTTTGTTTTGGGAAAACCCATTATGTCTGCACGTAGCTCAAAATTGCGCGTGTGATCTCAGTGCGATAATGGGAAAGTTGGTCTTGCGTAAGGTAGCCGATTCTCATTTTTGTCTATGAGCGCCATATTCTACCTAACTTGAGAGAAAAAAAGCGGCGCACAAAGTTGTAAAGAATCAATGCTATTGATAACGAACTTGTCATACAGTTATCAAATATCCACCGTTTATTTATGCCATAAAGAAAAGATCGATACTTTCGTGAGACGCTTCGGCGAACAAGGCTAGAAATAACGCAGTAGTTCTTGTGTGAGATCGTGTAGAAAAATCTGGGTCTATAGCTTTTAATCACTTCAGCCATGGTATAAACTATTACCTATCAATGGAACGCGGAGGATTCAGTTGACCGGGTACCCTCGGCTAGCGGAAAATTTCTTGGCCCCTCGATGGGTTTATTTTGCCCCGAGGGTTTGCGCACGTTCTTTGGAGTTGCTGTGGTCGTTCCCTAGATAGTCATGACTACGGCGTTGCCCCATACTGCGTTTCTGCGCCTTCGCGTCGGCACTTACCGCAATGCGAATCGCCCACGTACTTTATTCCCTTACCGCCAACAACTGGTATTTGTAGGGTTGACAAACATCTTGTGGCTGTGGCGGCGACGGCCGCTCAAGATTCATGGAAGGCTCGGCATGAAAGACCGTTTTCCGCTTGCCCACGCTCGTAGGTCTCCTGTTTCATTCCACCGTTCGACTGCCTTCTGGGCCAAAGACCGCTTTCGTAAAGCACAAATAACACAGACAGCAATAAGATAGACATATAGATGTGCGTATACATACGCCCAGGTTATATAGGCCACCCCATTCCACCCTGTGCCGTGCATGTGACTTTATCCGGTCGAACACGACGTACATCGTGTTCTTCACAATTTCCTGAAACCGTTCCCCAGCAGTCCTAAGTCCTTGTACACTCCCTTCACTCAGAGTGATGGCTTTTCATAACGACGATCGGCACCTCCTCCTCGACCTTCTCGACAGAGAACAGCCGGCCGTAGTTGACGGACTCCCCCTTTGCCTCCTCCAAGGCTTCCCATTAAAATACAAGGTTCCAAGAAAACCCACTACTTTATATCTTCTTTACCTTTCCTGTGTATTCAGCTTTAAACATCAACCTGGACGACTGAATCCTAGAACAGGCCGTGTACAATGTAAGCGGCTCGGACGATGGCGATGATCCTGAAGCAGAATAGAAAAATGAACGTATTCCTAACAGCGAGAGAGAAAATGAAAATATATAGAGGCAACGTACACATCGGTGTTATAGTAAGATGGTATATCTTTATATAAATATATGAATATAGATAGATATGAATAGAGTAGATTAATAAATAGCAAGGCAAAAACAGCCATTGTAAAGCAAAGGGATATCGAAATAGGTCGGCGTATGAAGATAGTAACAGGGCGCAAATGGAGTACGGACCCGAGTGCAAACCAGGCAGAGAAACTCTGTGCGCATGAGCTCTGTCTAGAATTATGATCTCGGAATCTAATGTAATAGATCAGATGGAACGGATGCATGCATTATGTACTATGAATAAAGACGAGATAACAAATGTACCAAGCCAAGCCTACTGACCGTAGCCGCCAGACTGCAAACCATGGTAAATAAAAGTGCTGACTGAAAATCATGCTTTCGAGCTAGTAATACTACTACTACTACTACTACTAATAACGATTGCTCGAGTCGGGGGCCCCGGGATGATCTTCCACGCTAAGGCTGTAACTCCCTATTGTAAATGAGGCGCGATGCCCCTTCTTTCTCGACAGCGCTTCAGGACAAGACCGCTGCCAGGAATATCGGCTAGTGAGCGAGACACTGCGATTGTCGTATTAGCTATATAAACATATATATATATATATGGACATAACTACTTATATACATGCATACCTACAACGAGATGAAGAAATTATGTGTGAAAAAGCACACACGAACCGTGACTCGAAGAGTATGTGTACAAGCAGTAAACATGCTAACGGCCCGCAGAGGGTTTAGGTAGAAATGCAAATATGTTATTACCTATTATAGCTAGACTCAGGCAGAAGCAGATGTATCATTCGAGACGGTAGGCAACAGTATATTGTTAAACACCTAAAGCACTGACCATTATTGTCTGATCCACGTCTGATTGATTTTGTTGAGATAAATAATGAGACAATAGCGAAGAACAAAATACATTACTAGAGGCGTTGCGAAACAACATTATCTACCGTTATTGTTGTTGTCGAGAGTTCTCTTACTGCCAAATTAACCGGAGCTTTTTTTTTTTCTCTCATAAATACAGCCGACACGTACGCTCGAACAAGTGCACAACTATTCACAGGCGGAAAATGGCTTTTGAGGTCACGGTATCAGTCGGCCCGAGGTGAGTCTGGGCCATCGATGATCAGTTTCAACACGTGTGTTCAACACAACATATTGTGACGAACGTTATTCGATAAAAAAAAAACAGAGAGACACTTGAGAATAGAGAGTAGATGGTTTCAATAAGACGTTAAGCAAAAAGCGAGATACAGAAAATTGTTGACATGGAAAGGTGGTGATGATGATAATAATGATAATGGTATTTAACAGAATCGATAATAGACGGAAAAAAAAAACAGAGGAAACCATCGATCCCGGCGAATACTATACAATGACCTATGTAACAGACAGCTGTCGATGTCGACAGACGAGAGAAAGAAGAAATAAAAAAAGAGCAGAGTTGAAACGAGAGAGCTGGCCATGTGGCTAACTATCTGTGTGGGTCGCTGGTACGGTCGTGATTGTCGTAAGAAAAAGCCACGAATCAAGTAAGGATGAGTCGAAATCATACATGTACGAATCTAGTAAAGAGACGAAGCAACTCTGACGAGTATCTGCCTTACCACCAAAGAATGACGACATGAACGAACGAACGAACGAAAAACCAAAAAAAACACGAAAAAATGGTAATCGTGAAGGATCGTTTGGATGCGCGATCTGTGTGTAGTTGTGTGGTTGCGTACATGAGCCAGTGTGATACTGAAATACGCCGTAGTACACCCATTCAGGCATACCCGAAAAAAGCGACAGCAACGACACTAATCATTCCTTAATTTTATCGACTTGTACAAAGTTATTAAAAACAAGGTTCCTTAAATATGTGAATACACTGTCGGTGTGTCGTTTTTCCATAGGTATTTTGGAAGGTTAGGTATCTCTTCCGGTGATAGAATACAGGACATAGGCACACTTCGTTCCGTAATGGGAACTCCAGCCATTTGGAGCAACACTCAGCGTAATGAATACGTAAAGCATTGGTTTAGACGCTTGAAAGATGCGCCATAGCGATAACTTACCTGC